TGGCCATGGGGGGGTCACCGTTTGGCCGACCTCATGGAGGTCATCCCTGCAGGCGGGGTTTGCAGCACATTCTAAGGCGAATGGGTACCCTCAGGACGTGAGCGTAGCCTCAGAACACCTGCCCTCAAAATGCGCGTCAGATTCAAGGGGGGAACTGTTTAAGTGAAAAGTGGATGCTAGGAATGCAAGCCACGAGGGTGCTGGCCTGCTTTGGCAGCTTCTTGGGCACGGTGCACATGGAAATGTGGGCAGCTCTTGTCCATGTGAGCTACCTGTCCCCCACACGGTGTGTACGCAGCAGATCTGTTTAAGCGTCGCTTTTTTGCCTCAATCCCTGTGAACTTTCATCCTGGATAAAAAGGTTGGCCCATGGGCTGGGGTTGTGACTCAATGGTAGAGCGCTTGACTGGCCTGTGTGAGGCACTGGGTTCGAGCCTCAGCACCACATAAAAATAAACTAATTAAAGGTCGATCAACAACTAAAAGAAAAAAAAATATATATATATATATATATATGAAGGTTGGCCCAGCTTAGAATCACTATGAATCTCAATTTTCATCTCTAATATTCATGTATTCATGATCTTTCATTCAAACATGTGCTTTATGCAGAATTGGTCAATATAATGTATGCAGCACTGATTTTTGTTTAAGTGGGTTCAACCGTACAATGCTGAACTTCATCTGCAGAGATGTCTCCTCCAGGGTTTTTGCCATCACTCATCAACAATCGTTGTGGCAGCATTTAAATGTTGTTAAAAATAGCTCTCTGTCCCTCTGCCCTGTGGCTTTAGAGGTAAACTGACTCAGCAATTTGATGAGCTTCAGGCCTTTGAAGAAATTTATTTTTAAAAATTTTCCTTATTAAAAGAATGTATGTAAAAAAAATCCTACTAAGAACATTGTCAAAACCATTACACTTAAGAAATTTGCTTACCAGAGAAAATGCATTAAGATGACTAAACACATTAAATTAAATTGACTACAACACATTAAATTGTTTCTTAAAAGGCACCGAGGACGGCTGGGCATAGAGATCAGTGGAAAAGCATTTGCCTAGCATGTGTGAGGCCCTGGGTTCGATCCTTGGCGCTGGGGAAAAACACAACACTAAACTAAAAGACATCAAGGGATTATCTTGGCACTACAAATGAAATGTTAAAAAAGTTATCAATGGAAATGGAATGGTTGGTATCGTATAGGCAAAACCTCATCGAAATGGAATTCCTTGTTTCAAAGACTTGTTTCACAGAGAATAGCTCTAATTCAGGAAATCTTTTCACCATCAGCCAAAGTCAGAATATTCTATGGCTTGGATGCCTGTTGTACATTTGGAATTGGTGCAAGGAGTTGTTGATCTCATCGTTAACAGAGTGCTTAATAAGTAACCTATCTTCATGGCTGCTACAGCCTCTAGCACAAAGCAGTTTACCAACTGTCATCTATATGTTACAGAAAACACTGTAGAAAGTAAGAATGTTTGTAAGCACGAGGGCGGGGGAGCACTTGGCACAAAAATTTCTAAGCAAGAGTCCCAATGATGTCATTCTCTCCCATAGGAACCGACCACAAGAATGAACATTGATTGAAGGGTGTCATTGATCCTACTTATTTTTGCTAATTATATCCAAATCCAGCCACGAATTTGCATCTTGAGTTCTAATTGCCTCTGAGAGTTCTCTGCACAGAACAGTAGCTACTAGAGTGACTCTCTCCAGAACAAGAAGTCAGAAATACAGGTTCCTGCTGATCTTGATGAATTAGAACCCAAGGAAGGGAGACAGTTTGTTTCCGCAAGAATCCATCTGTTTGTTTGTGTACAGCGCTTGTATTGAAATTGAAGGAAATTAATCCGGTTAAAAAAAAAAAAGTATCAGAACTCATAAACGCAGTAAACAAGAGCACTCAGGAAACATACACTCTGAGAAAACCAAGAAGCTAATGAGGTTTCTAAACCTCTTTAGTCTAATCTTCTCTAGTCCCGAGGAGACCTCTCTTGGTGTGTGTACAGCGTATGACTTATTTTGCATTGATTCTTGCTGCTTTGGAGCTCACAACGCAAATCGGCGGCAAGTGCTCGATTAATGAATCAGTGGCTGTCAGCAACTGTACCAACATGATCCTTTATTTTAGGGACTTCTCTGGTCCTTGGTTAATAGGCAGCTGAATTTGCCAATTTAATAAAAAAATAATAATAATAACACCTGTCCCAAACCCCTACATGTGCATAAAGTGGTGAACAGTTTCTTCAGGAGATCACTGCCCATCAAAAATGGGAGACAGGTGGTCAGGTGTGCTGATTGTACACTCCAAGTTCCACGTGTAAGCTTAGAGCTACAGCTAGCATTTTGGACCTCAAATCACCCCTGCGTGCTACCTGTCGAAGGCAGGAAGTTCATTTCTCTTGTAGCCTCTGAAACCAGGTGTGACCCATGGCAGGGATTCTTTGAATTTCCTTCTGCATTTAAAAAATCTTCAGTTGACGACACACACTAAAGAGTGCAGATTGCTAGATGATGCCCTTAGACTTTCTCTCTGGATGATTTGTGAATGAATGTCATGCTTTCGGCTAAATGAAGCAAAGTGTGGTGGCGGTGCACACCAGCAACCCCAGCAACTCAGGAGACTGAGGCAGGAGGATCGCAAGTGTGAGGCCAGCCTCAGCTATTTCATGAGACCCTGTCTCAAAATAAAGAATAAAAAGAGAGGGCGGGGGTAGTGCTGGGATTGTGGCTCAGTGGTAGAGCACTCGCCTCAATCCTCAGCATCACACAAAAACAAAATAAAGATATTGTGTCCACCTATGACTAAAAAATAAATATTTTCAAAAAAGTATTTTTTTAAAAAAGGGCAGGAGACATGGCTCAGTGGTTTAGCATCCCTAGGTTCAATCCCCAGTACCAAAAAATAAAAATAGAAAAATAAATGAAGAGAGGCAGAATAACAGACAGTTCTTAACCACTCCTGGGCATCAGTTTCATCTGTTAAAAATAGGGTTGGTGGGGCTGGGTTGTGGCTCAGTGGTAGAGCTCTTGCCTTGAATGTGTGAGGCGCTGGGTCTGATCCTCAGCACCACATAAAAGTAAATAAATAAAATAAAGATATTGTGTCCATCTGCAACTAGAAAAATATTTTTAAAAATAGGGTTGATGATAGAACCTGTTTGTTAGGAATAAATGAAATAATTATAAGTGAAATCAGTAAATTAACATCAGCTAGGGACTTAGCGATCACGACTGCTATTATTCCTTTTTTTCATGTATGATATCCAATGAGACATACTGGTTGGATAAATGAACAAATGAATGATTATTCAAATGAAAAAATAAATTGCCAAATCAGCTATCCAAAGTAGAATTGGGGAACCTCTCCATCCAAACAACAAAAAAAAAAAAAACATAGAGATATATGGTTTTAGCCTAAGATTGTCTGTCTTCATTTTATAGGTGAGGAAAATTTAAATTCAAAAACACCAAATGACATGTCGAGTCAAAATCGGGCTATTCCGCTGGGCACAGGGGCGCACCCCTGTCATCCAGCAGCTCAGGAGGCTGAGGCAGGAGGACGGCAAGTTCAAAGCCAGCCTCAGCAACTGAGTGAGGCCCTCAGCCACTTACTAAGATCCTGTTTCAAAATAAAATATAAAAAGGGCTGGGGGGGGGGGATGTGGCTCAGTGGCTAAGCGTCCCTGACACCAAAAAATAAAATAGAAAATTTTTAAAAAGGCGGGGGCTCTTCCTAGAATCTTGCTTACAATAAGATTTGCTCTTACCTATCCTTCCCCCAGTCGAAAAATAAAATAAATAAAATAAAAATCCTGGGCTGTCCCTACCTATTCCTGAGGGTTAGTGAATCAATAGATTTTTATTATGTGGCTTACAAAAGCTTTAGGCTTTGAAATAAGGGGATTTCTGTCCCATTACCTCGTCGCCGGCAGGACCCGCTATTCACTTCTCATTTCAGAAATGTCACTCATCCCGCAGTGACTAGAAGTGCATCATCCCACTTATCACAATTCTGCCCTATTTGGGGGGGAAACAAGCCAAAGCATATTCTACCACTCGATGATAGACTGCTTAGGACCGAGACTTCTCTTGATAACAACCAGAGGTGCTATCTTCTCTCCGTGACTGAGTAAAAGGGAAGAACTCCGTGACCAATAGTGTCTTGGTAGCGGGAATGTGAGCGTGGGTTGATGAGAACTAAATGCTGGAGATGATCGACAGAGGGGAATGGATTGGGTTAGTACAGAACACAGACGCGCATCAGAACGCCTCATCGCAGCCTATAAACAGGCACGGACATCACGTGTCGATTAAAAAAGAAAAAGCAATAGCAAAATTAAAGTCCCCCATGAAAGACCAGTTCCAGTTTTCCAGAGGAGGTTTTCATCTAAACAAGTTCACTTCATGAATATTCATCTAGTTCACAGCCGGAAACATGGGTCTGCGACTGTAGGAGAGAGTCCATCCATGTTCTCTTGTTGCCTGGTCTGGTTTGGATTCATCTGATTTGCCGTCGTTTGTTTGGTCTGGGTTTAGTATTGAGAATTTTCTGGAATATGGGCTGAATCCAGAATGTCGATCCTGTAGGCAGCGATGTGGCTGAGGCAGGAGGATCAGGAGTTCAAAGCCAGCCTCAGCAATAGTGAGGCCCTAAGCAACTCAGGGAGACCCTGTCTCTAAATAAAATACAAAATAGGGCTGGGGAGGGGGCTCCATGGTCGAGTGTAGCTTTACTAAAAATGCAAAGTTACCAGAATCTTCTTTCTGTTTTCCCTGAGCATCTGCAGAGATCTAACCTCAGGGCTCCCCGGCTGGGTTCCGTCCCTTGGGGAAGGTTCACGTAATGAGCAGTTTCATCTTTTCGTCTTCAAGGCGACTTCCTGGCCCACATCTGGGCTTCCCAGATGACCAAAGCCAAGCCACTCCTGCCTGCTCCCGGGTGCGGGGTTGGAGGCCCACCACGCTGTCTGACTCTGGTCTTGTTTCCACTCTCAGATCCCACCAGGGTGATGGTCCCCCCTTCCAGCATGGACGTCACGGTGGGAGAGAGCATCGTCCTGCCATGCCAGGTGACCCACGATCACTCCCTGGACATCGTCTTCGCGTGGTCCTTTAACGGACACCTGATAGACTTCAACCGAGACGGGGACCACTTTGAAAGGGTCGGAGGGGTAAGTATTAACATCGTCCTGTCCACGGGCCTGCTGTCAACTGTGCCCAGCAATCCCACAGGCGGGTTATGGGTTCCTGTGGGTCAAGGAGGAGACTGAAGCTCCTAGGAGCCGTCGTATGACGTCACATTCTTCCACAGTTCCTAGATTGCCACACTCAGCTTTAAACTTCAAAGCCCCAAGCTCTGTGCCCCAATCCATGCGCTTGACCCTAGACCTGGTTAGAGAAAGAATTTCAGAATAGTCACCTCGTATGTCTTTAGGCTACTAATCATCCCTCCCCTTAGCTCTTGTAGAAGACTCATGGCTGCGAATTTAGGATTTGCTTTCTTGATTCTAAAAGTCTGGTGAGGCTATGTATTACTTGCAGGTAATTTTAATCCAAGTGCTTGATTTTTGAAAGGCCTTACTTTTCACGGTGCACGTTATCAATAAATACACAACAAGGAAAGGTTGAATCTAGAAACAATGCACAGTTTTGTGTCTATCAGAATCATTCTGAAACTGGACAACATGGTGCGTGCATGTAATCCCAGCGACTCAGGAGGCTGAGGCAGGAGGATTGCCAGTTTGAGACCAGCCTCATTGATTTAATGAGACTGTGTCTCAAAATTCAAAATAAAAAGGCGCAGGGATGTGGCTCAGTGGTGAAGTGCCCTGGCTTCAATCCTTAGTACCAAACAAACAAACAAAAATATCATTCTCAAAAAAAATTTTTTTCTTTATCCTAACCCAGCTCTGCATTCCTATTGGTAATAAAGATTCTTTCTGGCTGCCATTATTTTGGAGGCACTTAATCAAAATAGAGCGGAATTCAAAAGTGGAGCTGCTTTGCCAACACAATCTGACTTGTGCATTATCTTACCTGCTTTAGGTTGAGTATAAATGGCTTAAAGCTCATCATCCAGGACACGAAGGGGCATCTCTTCTACCGAACATCTCTTTCTATGAAATTCTTACTTGGATCCTATTTTTTTTATATATATTTGTTTCATTTTAAAGATACAAATTGGGTCAAAATTGGAGAATCACTAGAGCGTGTTCTAAATCCCCAAATCAGAGAGCATATGGTAGGTTGCTGTGCTCTGAAACAGGCCACAGGAAGTCTCTTTGACATTCACGTCCCAGTGGATACAGTGAATTAAGGAGATGGCATAGGCATGTCCTTACTGCCAACGTGGCTTCTATCTTAAAATCAATGCAACTTTCATATTCCCTATGGGAGGCTGGTTTTTTTATCCAAACCTCTATTCAAGTGTTATATGTCACTTGAATATTTATATCTCCAGTGTTATGTTTCCCCAGACAAAATATCTTAGGTTAAAAAAAAAATCATTAATAATAATACTGATAGCCGGGCACGGTGGTGCACACCTGTAATCCCAGCGACTTGGGAGGCTGAGGCAGGAGGATCGTGAGTTCAAAGCCAGCCTCAGCAATTTAGCAAGGTGCTAAGCAACTTGGTGAGACCCTGTCTCTAAATAAAATACAAAATAGGGATGGGGATGTGGCTCAGTGGTTAAGCATCCCTGGGTTCAATCCCTGGTGCCAAAACAATAATAATAATAATATTGATGATGGTGGTGGTAATGATAATTCCTTCTATTTGCCTAATCATTTGTAAAGCACTTTCTTATATATTAGCTCCCTAATCCCCATAGAATCCATAGGAAATAAGTTGAGCATCTATTATCTCCTGTTACCGAGACATGGTCAGTGCATAGTAAAAACTGGATGAAAATCCTAAGTGTTATAAGTAACAGACTTTCAGATTTAAAAAAAAAAAAAAATTCATAGCTCTCCTTGAGTTAGCTTTAAGGTCTTTGACATGATTGTTTCAGAAAGAAAATTGATCATGACCATCAATAATACCAGTTTAAATTTACTGTGTGCTTCACAGTCTGTAAAAAGGATTTTGAGTAGCCGCACAATCTGATTTGATTCTCACCGCACAGCACAGTGGAGCGAGACATCCATCTTTCAAAGGTCAATAAACTTAAGGTCCAGAGAGATTAAGAGACTTAGATGAAATCACACAGCAGGGGTCCGCCCAAGACAACTAAGTATCAAAACTTGAGCGTTCCCTTCGCTGTGTGCTTTGGCCGCTGCGCTGATCCCCCGACAGCCATTGGTAGCTTCTTCCATTGTCTTTGGTAAATATGAATGTGATGGGTTGTACTGACACACAGGATAGAAACTCAGGACTTGCTTTATTCCCAGTGAGAATAAGGTCTTTCTGGAGAGTCTTAGAGCAAAATATTATTAAGAATGGGGACTATGTAGCTGACTGTGTGGGTTCAAATCTGGCCCCAATTTTTAGGAGCTAAGTGACCGTTGGCAAGTCACCTCACCTGTTTGTAGTAGAGTTTCCTCATCTGTGAGATCAAAAGAGAACCTGCCTCTCAGAACGTGTGTTTAGTGAGTTAACAGAACTAAACCACTTGAAAGGTAGCCGCCATATGCAAAATGCCATTGAGTCTCACCAGGATGGTGGCCATTTGCAGAAAGAGCATTCAGGATCTGGGTCCGCTTTCCATTCTGGGGTTTGGAAGGGGAAAACTCGGGTGGGCGGGCAGACCGTAAATTATTCTGCTATTCTTTGGGAGTTTGGAAAGAGGCAGAGCATCTCAAAACCTGGCCTGTGGGATGGACCTATGCTGGAGCAGATGTTCACCAGGCTCTGGATGAACAGGGATAAGAAACCAGAGTCCTTCATTCAAATGCCACCTCTGTGCCAGCCTGAGGAGGGATCTCTCCTGTTTATTCGAAGTCCCACGCTGTTGAATGCTGTAGAATTATTTCTGGGGCACAGAGACATCTCTAGACCCAGAGATGTAATTAGTCCTATTCATCTGCTAATCAAACGTGCATTTGGCATTCGGGAAACAAATTAGCACCCGTTCCACACTAGGTGATGGGAGATTTCCCTGGGGAGTCTGGTCTTCATAATCCTTTAATTCAAACCTGGGAGCAATCAAAACTGCTGGCTGTAGAACAAGGCTCTACGGGAAATTACCAAAAGCCTGCAAACCGGGGGGGACGGTTTGCTTCCTCTTTCCAAATGTGGAGTTGCAAAGTGTTGGAATGCCAATGCAGAGGGCAGGGGGAGGACGTGTCGGAGAAACCCCCAGGACCAGATCAGGAGCCACCTGACAGTGGCAGAACCACTCCAGGGAGCCCGAGAGGCCACACACCTGAGGTCTCTGGAAGGTGCCATGGGAAGGCGATGGCGCTGCGATGTGTCAATCAGGAGCATCCGCAGGCCACGGCCTGCGTCGCTAATGTTGTCATCGGCCGGCATCAAAATAAATCCATTAGTCACCGTGTCCTTCCTGTGCGGAGGATGTTTAGAGCTCATTAGAAAGTAATCGTAGCCCACTCTCCCCTCCTTTATCAGCAGGATTCAGCTGGGGATTTGATGATCCGAAACATCCAACTGAAGCATGCTGGGAAATACGTCTGCATGGTCCAAACCAGTGTGGACAAGTTATCGGCCACAGCAGACCTGATTGTAAGAGGTATTGGATTTTTTTTCCGACCCCCCTCCCCCTGCTCTTTTGTCTTTAAAACATTTTTTGTGATATCTACTCTGGCACAGAGTTCTAAGACCTCTCAGTGGTTTCCAAGTACAGAGGAAAAAATTTTTAAAAAGACATGAACTACATGTTAGCAGTGGTTAGTTACCAGTCCCCAGAAGTTTCTAGAAGTTCCTCCTGGGGCAATGTCAGAAGCTATAACGAGCAAGCCCAGTTTCTTTATACTAAAAGTGACACCTTCAAGTACCCCCAAATTAGGGCAGCTGGGGTCCCTGTGATTTTCTACAATGACTTAAGATTAACCAAAGCCAAGAGTCTCAAAAGGGTTTCACCTGGGCCTTTGTGGGTCTCCTCTGGGCTAACCCACAGTGTTCTGGGCAGCGGGCTATTTGAACAGTAGTTTAAGAAGTTTATCATCAGACTGCTACCAGATTCATTTTTTTTCTTGTAAAACTAATTGAGTTTGGTTTTTTTTTTTAATATCACTTTAGGGGTGACAGGAAACACCCCTTTGGTTTCCTGGGATGTAGCGAATAAGCTGAGGCGAATAGCAAATACTAGCATTTGTACGAATCTCTTTTGAGTGTCGCCAACTTGATGTAACCTGGACCTAAGCTAAGCTAGGCCCACGGAGCCCGTTCCAAGTTCCGCTTAGTGGATTTTCAAGAAATACCTTTAAATAAAAATTAAAGCACTAGTGAACCAGTGTGCATTCCAGAACCAGGCTGGTGCATGCTCGGGGATTTCCTAAAGTATTAAAAATAAAAACTGGGTCAGGAGGTTAGGTCAGGGATATGCAGGCTCACCTCGCATGCATGAGACCCTGGGTGGGATCCCCAGCACCATCAACAAAATTGAATAAAGAAAATAAAAGTAAAGATGAAGCCAACCCAGAACATGAAAATAATATCTTGGCTTGCAGCTCCTTGGTCAGAATTCCTAACTATAGGTGTCAAGCCCTCTTTAGCCAGCTAGCTGAGCTCAGGTGGAGCTTCAAGAGCAAGAAAATAAAGACCCAGGAGATCAGCCTTGGAGGCAGGGTGAACCAGGAAACAAGGCATGGTGGGAAATACCTCCAATTCTGCGCTGAATCCTCTAGGTAGAAGGTGACAGGGAGATGTGTAGGAATTAGCACCTTAAAGGTGCTAAGGTTAAAGATAGGTTAAAGAAAGATAGCATTTATTTCATGTATGCTTTGGTTACCTTTAAATTGCCTTTAAAAAAAATCATTCAGTCATGGTGCAGATAAGAAGAAAAAAAAATCTTATAACTTAGGTTGATCTGCCCACAGAATATCTTAGCAGAAACATGTTTAATTCTACTTAAAAAGAAAAAAAAAATACACCAGAGTCGATCTGCTCTCTCCTTAGGGACAAAAGGATTCTATTGCTGGAGATTTATCCTCTATTTAATTAGGATAATGTTCAGATCAGCCGTTTAAACGCCAATAAATTAGACTGATAAATATTTAAGTCAGTAATACTTGAAGTTCTTAAATGATACTGTATACTTCATTTCACAGAGAATAACATCGAAGTTGCAAACGCAGCCCAAAAGAAAATCTAGTTCTAATCAGTTAATAAGGCCAATAAATTAATATGCCCTTTTAAACCCTGATCTCTCATCTTATCTCCTCCTGCTTTGTCCGGGCAGACTTTCTGCCCATTGAGGTAGAGACACCCTTACAGGAGCCTGGGGGGCAGATTTTGATGTTTGAATCGAGTATGGCTTTGAGGGCTGGTCTCCCCCTATCCTCAATCCATAGCAGCACCTTCAAAGGCCACCCCTGAGCAAGCAGCAGACACCAGCCTCAACCCAACCGTCCCTCTGCTGTTGTTTGTCACAAAAAGAAAAAAAAACTTGTATGCACCCCTGACCATGTTATCATTTTGCTCAAAGGACCGACAGTTGCACATGTCATCATTTTGAAAGGGGGGGGGGCAGGAAGATAAAGAAAAATAAGCAAAGCCCTGAAAATACCATTTTTTTTCTCCAAAGGTCAAATTCTTACGACCCTCTACATTTCCTTCTTACACATGGGGGCCGACGGTGGTCTCAGATACTTCCCATCAGTGGTGATTTCTGAGGAGTGTGGAGGAAACACAATTCCATTTAGTGATCCTTGGGTTCTGAAGGCCATCGAAGCAGTACCCATAAAGAAAAAGGATGGAAGGGCTAGGTTGAGGAATCCAGAAAGAGAGAGAGAGGGGAAGGAAAGAAGTGTTTCAGTCAGCTTTTCATTGCTATGACAAAGAGACCAGAGGAGGACAATTTAGAGGAAGAAAAGTTTATTTTAGTACCTGGATTCAGAGATCTTACTCCACAGATGGCCAGATCCACAGCTGTAGGCCTGAGGTGAGGCAGAACATCATGGCGGACGGGTGTGAGGGAGGAAAGCAGCTCAGGACATGTTAACCAGGAAAGAGAGAGAGAGAGAGAGAGAGAGAGAGAGAGAGAGAGAGAGAGAGAGAGAGAGAGAGAGAGAGAGAGAGAGAGAGAGAGAGAGAGAGAGAGAGAGCGCTCTGCTCACCAGGGACAAAATATGAACCCAAAGGCATACCCCATTGACCTGCCTCCTCCATCCACACTCTACCTGCCTACAGTTACCACCCATTTAATCCACATCAGTGGATCAATCCAACTGATCAGGTGACACCTCTCACAATCTAATCATTCCCCCCTCTGAATATTCTTACGTTGTCTTTTGGGGGACAGACACGTCTAAACCACAACAGGAAGGAAGGAAGGAAGGAAGAGGAGAGGTGACGCAGAGAGAGGAAGAAGAGGACATCGTTGTCTAGATTCACCTGGGTTAATAAGAATCCCAAAGACCCGAGGTTGCCTCAGCCCCACCTGGGTGACATTAGGTGGGCAGGCTGGAATGTCACCATGGAAAATCAATCAGTTTCCGTGAGCAGATTCCCAGATTCCTTAGCCAAGAGTTAGAAGGAGAAGATAAATCTGGTGTCATCTGTGGATTCTATAAAGATGGTTTATTTTAAAAGGAAAGAGGGCGTTAGGGCGCCCCCTACAGGCGAAGGAGTGAATCCCAGAGCAAAGTCTACTGTGTCCGCCGAGAGCGGTGCCCATGACCCACAGGAGGAACCCACGCATGTATATAATGAGTGGAGGAATGAACTTGGACCTTAGGTGGCCCCGTATTCTCTCCTGTAAGGCTCAGCTTGGTGGTGGCTGGAAGCCAGGGGCACGCCTCGTTGATCTGTGTAGTGCCAGAGCCCAGCACAGGGCCCAGCCCCTGGCAGGTGGTCATAAAGGGTTTCACAAGTGAGGAGTCCGGAGGGGATCAGCCACCGTCCGGTGGGTCGCTCACCAGGTCACTTGTCATACTGACCCGACCCCGGGGGTCTCACTCTTTCCCAGGTCCTCCAGGGCCCCCAGAGGCGGTGACCATAGACGAGATCACCGACACCACTGCCCAGCTGTCCTGGAGACCCGGGCCTGACAACCACAGCCCCGTCACCATGTACGTCATCCAAGCCAGGACTCCCTTCTCCGTGGGCTGGCAGGCAGTCAGTACAGGTACCACGCTGGGTGCTGGGGCTGGGTGCTGGGGGCTGGGTGCTGGGTGCGTCTCTCGGGGACTTCCACAGCACAGTGAGTCGGACAGACAGCCCACTGGGACAGGAGTCAAGGGTCAACTGCAGATGATGCAGTGTGTCCGGGTCTCCCAGACCTCGGCCCGCTGTGGCCGTCAGTGACTTCATAGTTTTCTCTGTAACGACTCCTATTTTGCTGGGATTTTGGGTTTTGTTTTGTTTTTTGCTTCTCTTAAGCAATAGTATCTGTGAAGTGATAGGTCTGATACTGGGGTTTTTTCTTTGTTCCTTAACAAATTTAAAACCGATTATTTAAAAAAAAAAATTACATGCATCTGTGTATTCCTTAAAATCATCCTTGTACCACTGTGGTAGGTTGGGAAGCCGTGGGCTATGCCGACCTTATTTCTATTTATTTATTTACTTATTTATTTATTTTTGGTACTGGGAATTCAACCCCAGGGCACTCAACCATTAAGCCACATCCCTCGCCCTTTTCTATTTTATTTTTATTTATTTATTCATTCATTCATTCATTTATGTGTGTGTGTGTGTGTGTGTGTGTGTGTGTGTGTGTGTGTGTGGTGCTGGGAATTGAATCCAGGGCGCTGAACCATTAAGCCACATCACTGGCCTCTATTGAGGGGGAGGGAGTTTCACTGGGGATTGAACTCAGCAGTGCTCAACCACGGAGCCCCCTCCCTAGCCCTATTCTGTATTTTACTTAGAGACAGGGTCTTGCTGAGTTGCTTAGTGCCCCACTGTTGCTGAGGGTGGCTTTGAAGTCGCCATCCTCCTGCCTCAGCCTCCCGAGTTGCGGGGATGACAGGCGTGCACCACTCTGCCCAACCCCTGGACTTTTTTTTTTTTTTCCATTTCATTTTGAGACAGGGTCTCGCTGAGTTGCTCAGGGCCTCAGTAATATGCCAGGCTTTAATCCAGTCTTAGTAAAGCTTCTGCATAACTTTCCAGAAAGCAGTATCTAGGAGCATTTTGAACTGCTGCCTCTCAGTTTAGGTGGATAGATTTGGGGATGAAGAGGTGTGAAGTTTTTAAAATCAATTTACAAATTTTAGCATAAACTTTTTTTTCCAGACCATCGTTAGTGGCCGTAACATTTTCACCTTCTTTCCTTTTTTTAAATAATTTTTTATAATTTCTTTATAATTATGGTGTACCCCTGTATTTCTTAAAGTTTCATAATCATTTCTCTTTGGGGGTCCTGATTCTTACACCTCTGTCAGTGTCTCATTTTTAAATTTAGGTTCATTTGAGGAGAAGAAGGTTGGATGAAAAACAGGTAATTCCTGCAAGAAATTTACACATTTCCATAGTCCCCGAGGGCTGCCTTGTGTGGCCTCCACGTTTTAATGTAGTGGGACCCAATTTTATGCAATTTATATAAATTGTTGATTTGAACAACCCCTACTTTTTTATTTTTATTTTTTTCATTTTAGCTTAATCGAATCTCAGAAACAGCCTTCCGCGGTCACACTGAGTTTCTGTTGAGTCCCGGGAGTGTTAGATGAGAAGCATCTGGAAGTGAGGCAGTGACTTCTAGCCTTGACTGCTGTCTCCCTACAGCGTCTGTTAAACCAGCGCAGTGAGGATTGTGTGAGAACAGACGTAACCTGACTCATTGGATAGCTGTCAGAAGGAAAGCTCGCCTATATAGTCCATGCGGGAAAAACCTGTTACGGGATCCTAAGAATTGTCCCAGTCGGTAGCTTCAGGCTTGGAGGGCCTTGCATTTTTATGAGGTCATCCTGCTGGCGTCTGATTTGAGTGTGTTAGTTGAACAGAGCTCAGGGGTTACCATCAAACCACCTACCAGGCCCTGAATGAGGTGATGGATGGATGACAGATGGATGGATGGATGGATGGGGTCTGCATTGGTTTGTTTGTCTTCTGGGAATCCTGCGAAACCTTCTCATCTTTTGGTGTCTCGCAGTCCCAGAACTCATCGATGGGAAGACATTCACAGCGACCGTGGTGGGCTTGAACCCTTGGGTCGAATACGAATTCCGGACCGTCGCAGCCAACGTGATCGGCATTGGGGAGCCCAGCCGGCCCTCTGAGAAGCGGAGGACGGAAGAGGCCCGTGAGTAGTCCCCCCTGGGATTGACCTCATCTGTTCCAGCCGCGCCTGCTCCTTTGGAGAGACTTTCAATTCTTGAGGAGTCTGTGTATTGGCACGTTCTTCCCCTTAAAGGATTTTAAAAGATCAGAAATCAGGTCAGCAGGAGGTGAGCTGGGCAGGCAGTGAGTTGTGACCACCAGTTGGGTCCGCCACGTGGGGTTCCCTGGTAGAGCCAGAAGCGCTTTCAAAATCCAACTCTTGCTGGGCGCAGTGGCGCACGCCTGTCATCCCAGCAGCTCGGGAGGCTGAGGCAGGAGGATCGAGAGTTCAGAGCCAGCCTCAGCCAAAGCAAGGCGCTAAGCCACTCAGTGAGACCCTGTCTCTAAATAAAATACAAAACAGGGCTGGGGATGGGGCTCTGTGGCCAAGTGCCCCTGCGTTCAATCCCTCGTCCCCACCCCCTGAAAAAAAGTCCTTCTTCACGGGTTCAGAGGTCACCAAGATCCTAATGGGATTATTAAAAATAAATCCCCAAACCCACATTTCAAATGACATCCTCTCACAGAGATCAATGATGGCAAAGAAAAAAAAAAATGTCTCCAGAAAGTTCCTCTAGAATTTTCCTGGGGTCTAAACCGTCCCAGAAGCTAAGACTTAGAACATCTGGAGACAGTTTGAGCAGAAATAGAGAACATCTGTTCATCTGGGCCTGTGAAGTGGTGCACCCACGTCGGTGGTCTTTGTAGGGATAAGCCGGATGGTTGTTGAAGGACTAGCACTAGCAATGCTCCTAAGCAAATAATCAATCTGACCCTACTCTCAGGGAAGAGAAACCAAAAAAAAAAAAATCCATCTAGGTCCTTGACTTTAACGGGGACACACCCCCACTCTCCAGTGGACAGTTCTGCCTGAAGTCTTGCAGTCCCGTGATGATACCCCAGCTAACCCGAGGCTTCCTTCGCCCCCCTGCAAAATTACACTTGAATTAATTCCACTCGGCGATCCCGGGGAGGAAACCAGCCCGATTTCCCCCTCTTTTACAGAGAAAAGTGGGGATCAAAGAGGTTAAGACAGTGAGCAGCCAGGGGTCACCCCCTGCTCACCGCTTCCTCCAGCACCCAGCTCAAAGCTCACCTTCTTCTGAGAAGCCATTAGCCCGCCCCGTCCAGCAACCTGCTGCTGCAGAACACCTCAGCTCCTCTTCATTCTGTCTCTGCTCAACCGTGTCCTGGATTGGCTCTATAAACGGTCCCCCCACGCCCCTGCCCTCCACCTGGATGGTCAGCTCTGCCTGAGCAGAGAGGGTCCCCTGTCCCCTTTGTGTGTATCACCACGTGGCTAATAAACACCTCACCAAGCTCGGAAATGCGCACGCACCTCTGTTCTTTCCTCCTCCCTGGAACCCCTGGGTCTCTGGGTCAGACGTGCCCTCTTGCTGAATGGGAAACAGGTAACCGCGAGCCACGGACACGCTTCACCTCCTTGAAGGTGTGTGTGTCCGAGCATGGGCTGGCGGTGAGCCACTGGGAAGCCACCAGGCTTCCCCAGCAGTCACCTGCCATCGCTTGTGTGACGTGACTTGTTCTGTGTCTCCCATGCAGTTCCTGAAGTCACCCCGGCCAACGTCAGTGGAGGTGGAGGAAGCAAATCTGAACTGGTTATCACCTGGGAGGTAAATGAAACCGCAGGGCACTGGTCTGGGCCGTGGTATTCTTTCAGACGTAGCTGGGGAGCCTTCCCCTCTGTCCTGAGCCGCTAAAATCTATTCGAGTACCAGCGCTTCCTTTCCCCTAGCTAATGGGTAGCAGGAAAGGAAGGTGCTAGCCCATCCATGGTGTAGGCAAGTTTTTTTTCATTTGATACATCCCAGGAAAAAACAATCAGGGAGGAGAAGCCAACACAAGTTATTAAAAAAGAGAGAGAGAGAGAGAGAGAGAAAATGAAAGAAAAGGGTTCAGAGAAAACCAGGGTTTTCTTTCCTTCCTGAATTGCTACATGGTCAATTGATTTAAAGCGTCTGCCGGCCAGAGATTCAGCGCAGCACCAGCAGGCTCGCCCGGCAATTGGTTTTGCTGCTGGATTAAGAGGCATTTTTTTAAAAAAAAAACAAAAAAACAACCTGGAGGAAGGTTAGTCACCAATTTATTAAAAATTGATTTTGAGAGAGAAGCTGAGGCGCTTTCAGAAAAGGGTCCTTTAATGTTTTGAAAGATTCTAGTCTGAGGCTGTAAAAATGGAATCATTTCCTCTCCTGCGAGCCCCTCACCCCCCACCCCCTCGGGCTGAGCTCTTCTCCTCGGAGCAGGAAGGTCCTGCCTGAGAGGCCAAGACGGTCTGGGTCCCTTGGACCAGTGAAGACCTTCCCCCTCTTTGGCACTAGAGGGAGATGCTGGGGGTGGGGGTGACATTTCCCCCAACTATCTCCTTTCAAGGTCATTTCCAACGATTTCAGCGTTGGGAGTGACCCTCGGAGCCCAGGGGTCCCCTGCAGATGGTCATTGAGTGCTTTAAGCCGGCTGCCAATCTCCAATCTCCTGAATGTGTTAGGTACATTATTGGCCGACCCTAAATTTTTAAAAAAGGAAAAAAAAATCTTGATATAATCATAAGAAGCAGAGAAGGGAAGAAGGTAGACAATCTTGTTTGTGTGTTGGCTTGGGAATCAAACTGCTGGGATTTCTGAAGGCCACCACCTCCTTTCATTCCAGACGGTGCCCGAGGAGTTACAGAACGGCAGAGGCTTTGGGTACGTGGTAGCCTTCCGGCCCCATGGCAAGATGATCTGGATGCTCACGGTGCTGGCCTCGGCCGATGCCTCCAGATACGTGTTCAGGAATGAGAGCGTGCGCCCCTTCTCTCCCTTCGAGGTTAAAGTGGGCGTCTTCAACAACAAGGGAGAAGGACCCTTCAGCCCCACCACCCTGGTGTATTCTGCGGAAGAAGGTAACGCTGTGTTTTTCCTGGACAAAGCTGATGTTCCTTCAATGCTCAGGTTTCTATGTAGGACGGACTGTCGGTTTAGGACGCCCGGAACTCGTAAATCAAAGGCACATCTGGATTTGAGAAAAGTATCGTGTGAAAAAAATGTGGTTCATGCCAGGCACAGTGGCACACGCCTGTCATCCCAGCGGCTCAGGAGGCTGAGGCAGGAGGATCCTGAGTCCAAGGCCAGCCTCAGCAACTCAGCAAGGCCCTAAGCCACTCAGGGAGACCCTGTCTCTAAATAATATACAAAATAGGGCTGGGGATGGGGCCTATTTTCAATCCCATTTTTTTAAATGTAGCTCATTATCAAAAGATGTATATAAAAATACTGCATATAAAAACATGACCATGGCTGTCCATTATGGATTCTTTTGCAGAGGGCCCAGATTCCAAGGGCCACATAAGATCTTGGCTCTCTTTGAATCTATCTACCTATCTACGTCATTGCTTTTTTAAATTATATATTTTTTTATCTCCTTAAGCAAATATCAAAATAGAAACTTGCATTTCCTGACACCACTTCTGTTTTTATAATCTGTATGGGGTACTTCTATTTTTTTTTTCTTTTTGGTACCAGGGACTGAACCCAGGGGTGCTTAACTGCTGAGCCACATCCCCAGCCCCTGTTTTGTATTTTATTTAGAGACAGGGTCTCACTGAGTTGCTAAGGGCCTCACTAAGTTGCTGAGGCTGGCTTTGAACTTATGATCCTCCTGCCTCAGCCTCCCAAGCTGCTGGGATGACCAGCGTGCCCCACCATGCCCAGCTTAAAGGTGATGTTCAGAATGGGACCACGTTGAAACGTGTGGAAGTTGAGCTATTTACTTCGGACTCAGTGAAGATGCGGTCAAGTCTTTCCCCCCAGAGAGAAACCATCCCTTAAGTTCTGCAGCTCTCTGTCACCTCTCCTTGGCCTCCGTCACCTGTCCTTGGCTTCGGCCTCCCTTACCCCTCCCAGGCTTCCCTGCATTCTCCATGCCCTGACCACGTCCTTTGACGTTACCCAGATGCCACAGCACGTCCCCTGTCCTGCCCACCTCGTGAATTCATACCAGCCCTTTAAGCCTCCACTTGAACAACCACGGCCTCTCTGATTCCCCAGGCCAGCCCAGGACAGGAACCGCTCCATTTTCTCCCAGTTCATCTCTAGTGGTCATATTTATAGTATTCGCACGTTCCTCTATTCTAATTCACACCCACTCTACTGCAGATTTTGAATATTCTGGTGGCAGGTTCCCACCTGTGTTTCCTGGGGATGGGTCCTTTGTCTTTCCCCTGTGTGCCAGACATTTAATAAATGCTGAACTCATGAATGCATCAATAGAATCTTCGATTATCCCCGGTAGATGGAGGTCTCCTTGTTCCACATGGCCTCGAGGGTGGTGTGCATTCCGGTGGGGGTACACAGGATGACTGTGAATGACATCGCACGAACTTTTCACAGTATCAAAGAGGCCCGTGTTGATTTCGGCTGCATTCGAAAAAAAATAGAGAGCTATTCGGTCAAATGCAAGATGTCATGAGTGTTATTACTTACAACGAGGCTCAGCTCGATTTTTCTTTCAAAAAGACCATCCAAAGGAAAGATTCATATACAAACAGTATGCAGGCTGAAACTCTGCCAAATAAAATAAAATAAAATAACTGAAATTTGGGAAACAGTTGGTCCAGCCTGTCCTTTTAGCGGAGAGTGCAAATGACTTGGGTAAACGTGGCTAAATCTTGTCCAAGAGCATGGAGATCCACAGCATGAAGCTAAACTAGTGTCCGTTCCGCTCTCTGGACCCTTGAGGACATCATGCCAGATTCATTGCTCCCGAGGACAGAAAGATGAATGTTTTTTCTCTTAGTGAAGTCAGGTGACTGTCTTTTTTTTTTCCTGTTCTCCATTGTTCTCATAACCCAGTGACTAGAATTACTACTGATGACGAGTGTTCATTAAGCAAGTTCCAACCAAGCACGGTGGTGCCCTCCCGTAATCCCAGTGGCTCAGGAGGCTGAGGCAGGAGGATGGCAAGTTGATAGCCAGCCTCAGCCATTTAGCGAGGCCCTGAGCAACGTAGTGAGACCCTATCTCAAAATTTAAAAAGAAAAATAAAATGGGCTGGGGATGTGGCTCCGTGGATAAGCATTCCTGGGTTCAATCCCTGGTACCAGAAAGGAAAAGAAAAGAAAAGAAAAAGTTCCATCTTGAAGGAATTTCTGGCTTTGAAAAACCTTGAACTCAACGAGTTCTGGGTTCCTTCTGTACCACTCACCTCCAAACTGAAAACCCAAAGGCTTTGGAGTGGTCTCCTCCCGACCACCACCCGCTACACGTCAGTCATTGCCTCTCTGCAGAATGAGGCTTTGCCTGGCATCTTTAAGGGCCCTTCTAGAACCACGGATTCTTTGCACCTGATAATGAACATCGTCTGAAGAAGTTTGTGCTCATGCAGCTGATTGATTCATGAGAACTTGAATTCCTTTCTCTGCAGAACCCACCAAACCACCGGCCAGTATCTTTGCCAGAAGCCTTTCTGCGACTGATATTGAAGTTTTCTGGGCCTCGCCGCTGGAGAAGAATAGAGGGCGGATCGAAGGTTACGAGGTAGGCAAGCACGTGTGTCCAGGGACTGTACCATCCTCGGTCCCTGGTATACTCTAGGGGGTGTTTCAGGATCTATGCAATTTTAAGCATTTATGAGCTCAGGTCTGATAGACCCAGCATTATCCAAGCTCAAACCAAAGACGGAGAACAACCAACAGTGGTTCTCAGCAAAAAGCCAAAAACAGGGGCTGGGGCTGTCGCTCGCCTAGCACGGGTAAGGCCCTGGGTTCGATCCTCAGCACCACATAAAGATGAAACAAATAAAATAAAGGCACTGTGTCCCTCTACAGCTACACACACACACACACACACAAAAAATGTATATATTTTTAAAAAGCCAAAGACCAAAAAAAGAAGGCTTTCTTGATTTTATGGGTGACTTCTCAGAACATGCAAATCTCTTTGTTCTGAAAGCTATTGAATTGGTCATAGAAAATCAACTCCGTCATTAAAAAAGAGAAAAAAAAAATGATTACCTGATAACATTGGAAATGTCCCCCGTGGGTCGGGTTTCCAGCGTCTTTCTGTCTTCGCAGGTGAAATACTGGAGACACGATGACAAAGAAGAAAACGCTAGAAAAATTCGCACCGTGGGCAATCAGACATCGACCAAAATCACCAATTTAAAAGGCAGCGCCCTGTATCACTTGGCTGTCAAGGCGTATAATTCGGCTGGGACGGGTCCCTCCAGTGCCACGGTCAACGTCACCACCCGAAAGCCACGTAAGAACAAATCGATCAGAAATATTTGGGGGGGGGGATTCATCAGACGCGGGTCCCTGTTTCCTTCCCTGACCCCTCCTCACGGTGACCATTTGCATACTAATTGGTATCAGGACGTGGTTTCAGACTCCCCTTAGCATCTCCCTGAACCCTTGAGGACATCATGCCAGATTCATTGCTCCCGAGGACAGAAAGATAAATGTTTTTCTCCTCCCTGGGAAGGGCGGCTGCTGCTGCTTTGAGCTCTAAATGCTAGGCGACCAGCTGAATCTTTTTTCCATTTGCAACGCGGTATCCCGTCAGATCTCAGTGACCTTGAAGACACAGATTAGTGCAATCGTCCATTAAATGGCCTGCACTCTTGAGTTCCAGTAAGGAGAGATTCCTCCGAATCCGTGGAGATTTAATAACCTGTGACTTCGTATATCTTCATATATATATATATATATATATATATTTTTTTTTTACAGCACCCAGCCAACCTCCCGGAAACATCATATGGAATTCATCGGACTCCAAAATTATCCTGAATTGGGATCAAGTGAAGGCCCTGGATAATGAGTCGGAAGTCAAAGGATACAAAGTGGGTAATTTCTTTCTTTGCAAAAGCACCTCATCTTAATGTGAAGGGGGGGCAGTGTCCTTCCCTGTATCAGATGATGCACATTCTCCCTTTACCTGAGGATGCTTTCCCAGCCCCTGAGGAATCTCCGCCCCAGAGTGGTGTGGGCCAACTTGTATAAATGTCCCCGAACCAGTTGTCAGAATTCAGATAATCACCCCTGTTAGTCAGTTTTCCATTACTATGACAAACACCTGAGACAATCCGCTGATGGCGAGAAAAAGGTTGATCTGGGCTCCAGGTTCCAGAGGTTTTCATTCTATAGATAGTTAACCCTGTGGCTTTGGGGCCTGAACCGAGGCAGACATCAGGGTCGAGCAAGCTGCTCACATCGCTGCCGCTGAGAAGCAGAGAGAGAGGAAGAGACGAGGGTCCCCAAGTCCCCTTAAGGGAACATCCCCAGTGACATAAAACCTTCCTGTAAGTCCTACCTCTTAAAATTTCCACCACCACCCACCCCCTCAGTTCCACAGGCCGGGGACCACACCTTTGGGAGACACTTACCCAAGCCACAGTGTCACCTAACCTCTAGGCTCAGGCAGCATCAATCAGACACGGTTAAGGACTCGGTGGATGGAGGACCCTGAAGGCACCCTTGATCAGCATTGGGTTTGGTCCCCGTCTCAGCTGGACTGGTCAGTCAGACACACTAACGTCCCAGCATAACTAATGGCCAATCGCTTCGGCTCTGCCTGTAGTCAGGAAGCTTCGTATATCTAGAAAAACAAGTGGGAGGGTTTTATTTAAAAAAGTCATTTAGAGAAAAAAGAAGAAAACGGATGTAGCCTTATTTCCACAACCGAAGGAAGTCTTGACCAGGCGTCTGTCCAAAGCTTCCTATGGTCTCCGGATAAGCCTCCCCCAAACCCGTGAGTAAAACACCTACTGTGTGTAGTTTCCATGATTCTGAAATCTGGTCTGGGTGCCCTTGGGCACCCCCGGCCCCCAGGCCTGGATGGGCTAAGGTGCCCCTGGACACATTTCCACCTGCTTTGATGGAGTGGAAGAGCCAGAATCTGGCCAGGGATCGCTGTCCAGTGAGGCCTCTCCCTGTGGACGGCTTGGGTTTCCTCAGAGTATGGCGATCTCAGGATAGTCAGGTCTCTGACCTGGTTTCCAGCTTCAAGGAGAAAGAAAGCCGAGCTACCCATCTTTTTAAAATCTAAGCATGAAATAGCCACTGAATGGAGATTCCTCAGAAAACTTGGAATGGAATCACCACTGGACCCAGCTATCCCACTCCTCGCTTTATACCCAAAGGACTTAAAATCAGCATACTACAGGGACACAGCCACATCAATGTTTAAAGCAGCTCAATTCACAATAGCCAAGCTATGAAACCAAAACCTAGATGCCCTTCAACAGATGCATGGATAAAGAATATGTGGTTATATTTATAATGGAATATTACTCAGCCTTAAAGAAGAATGAAATCATGGTATTGGCCAACAAGTGGATGGAGCTGGAGACTATCACGCTAAGTGAAATAAGCCAATCCCCAAAAACCAAAGATGAAATGCTTTCTCTGATATGCAGATGCTGATTCACAATAAGGGGTGTGGGGTTGGTGCTAGGAAAGTACAGAGTTACTTTGGGTTAGAGAGAAGGGGAGGAGAGTAGAATGAATCAGATCCTCTGTGCATACATGACTACACATCCAGTGTGATTCTATGTCACGTACAACCAGAAGAATGAGAAGTTATCCTCCATTTAATGATGTGTCAAAGTGCATCCTCCTGGCTGTCATGTAAAACTAATTAGAACAGATAAACAAAGAAAAAAATGGTCATCTCAGACTCAGAGGCAGGGGAACTAGACTCTAGCTTTTGATGTAAGGCCTAGAATAGCCCAGGCAGAAGGGAAGGGGTTGGTAGCAACCCTATTGATAGACCAGAGAATGCACCAGCAAGACCATGTCCAGCAGTCAGGTTCGGCACATCCCTAAGGAATCAAGGAAGGAATTGAGCATATTTAGCTGGGTTAAAAAAAAAATAATCAAAAAGCCCCGGAAATATGATGTCCACTTCCAGTATGGGAAGGGCTATTGTCAGGAACCACCAACACATTTGTCCTGCAAAGTTCCAAGGGATTTTAAAACGACAGACAATGAATGAGAATTACATGGAGGACAAAGGGTGGCTCCATTCTCCTTGCTGATGGACAGAGCTCTTTGGAAGGGGACTTAGATCCAAGAGAGGTGGAGCATTTCTCTCTGTCACTGGAAATAAACATGAGCTGGATTACGGCCCGGTGAGACGTTAGGAGAGGAAATAAGTAGGGTCTGTAGATTCCATCGCATATTCCACTTCCTTTCCAGCCCAGGAGAGTCATGGCCAAGTGACGTTTAAAAAAGCTTTTAGGAAACCCTCATCATCCGGGCTCCCTGGACAGTGCTCTCGACCCCTCGTGGTTTCACATGGATCCCGCCAGAGAAAAAGTGGTTCTTTTAGCAATTTTGCAGGTCAACTTTCAACGAACCATTCCGTGGTTTTCATTAGAAAAGGAAGATTATAAAAACCAAAGCCTAAGATTATTCCCCCCCCCCCCCCAAGGAGGCACGCTTGGAAGTCAGAATTTTCTGGGGTCCTGCAAAATAGCCTTTCATCTATGACTCAGTAAACGAAAGTATTGCCAAGACCTTCCCCCCCCCCCCCCCCGCGCCATCTAAAAGGCGGAAGCAGGCAGGGTGGGAAGCCACGGCCCACCTAGAGGGGGTGTCTGGTTATCAGAACGTGCCAGCTGCAGACCACTTCCTGCCTGTGTTGACTGCAGGAAAAAAAAAAGGAGACGCAGCTCCCCAGAGACGGCAGGCTTTAGGAAGGTGGTAGGGGAAAAACAATATAGAATGGATCATTCTAGATTTCAGTTTTAAAATGTGGTCACCTCCTCTAACTTTGTAGTTCGGCTCTCTCTTGGCTGTGTGACTTTAGGTCAGCCGCTCGAGCTCTCTGGGACTAATACACTGACCTTTGGTGTTAAAAGGAGAAGTTTCTAGTATCTCTGTTGTTCTCTGACCCTGTCTCTCCCTGTGACGGTTCCCCCAGACATCCTTCAGCAGGTGGCTCATTGTTCAGCTCTGAGCTTGGAAGCCTTCCCTGCTGGCCAGAGCTGGGGGGTTTTGTGGGAGATGAGGGGTTTTTTTGTTATTTGGAGAGGTGCTGGGGATTCAACCCAGGGGCACTTTACCACTGAGCTACCTCCCTAGTCCATTTTATTTATTTATTTTTTGAGCCGGGGTCTCACTGAATTGTGCAGGACCTGGCTAAGATACCGGGGCTCTCTTTGAACTTGAGATCCTCCTCCCTCCGCCTCCCAGGTTGCTGGGAATCAGAGGCACATGCCGGAGCTTCCTCCAGAGCTCTCTGTAGCAGACTTTCGGAAGTCCTTACCATCCCCTTGGATGACTGTAATTAGCCGGTGGCTTGTGAATCCCTTGACTGTGGGCTCCCGGAGGGCAGTGTCTGAATCCTTATCTGTGTTTTGCCCACCAAGAAGTACGCTCACGGTGATCACGAGAGAGCTCTCGTTTCCTAACTCTCGTGTCTGTGATGACCCAAGAGACAGCGGGGTTGGGTTAGGCTGGAGGATGAATGAGGAAAAGAGTAGCTTTATGAAGGAAGGAAGGAAGGAAGGAAGGAAGGAGGGAGGGAGGGAGGGAGGGAAGGAAGGAAGGAAGGAAGGAAGGAAGGAAGGAAGGAAGGAAGGAAGGAAGGAAGGAAGGAAGGAAGGCACACCTTTGCAACTCTGGAGACCTGACCAGGCTAGCTGGGAAGATGACCTTGACCTTGATCATCACAGCAAAGAAAAGGAGGCACAATGGATCTAACCCAACCAAGAGGGGAGAATGAAAAACAATAACAGAAGGAGATTCTCCCTCCTGGCCTCCGTGACACCCATTAGAACCCGTGGGAAAAGGAGTGTCCAAGGCAGACAGCCACCAGGGTCCCCAGGAATGTCACAAGTCCCGTGCGTGCCCAGGCTCATTTTCAAGCGGGTGCTTGAAATGGAAGAAGCAGTCCAGGTTCGCTCGACGGGTGATCAGCAAGCCCTCGGGTTTGGCCAGGGCGAGGATCCATAGGCACGCCGCGGAGTCGATGATGGCTTTAGAGAGAAAAATTGAGTCTCGGTCACGATTTAGTTGGCACCACTTGGCACACCTGCTCCCTCTCGGAGACTGTCCCCTGAGCTCCGTAACACCTCTTGGAGAAAGCCCTTCTGGAACTGGTGACCCCAGCCGACCCTCGAGTGCACACCTAGGAGATTCGTTTGGGCAGCAGCACTTGGTGTAGGGCCTGGGGGCGGGGGGTAAAACAGGCCAAGACAGACCAAGGGGCTTTTGACCTCCCAAAAATGATCTGCTGAGCTTGGCGTAGGATGGGGAGAAATCATCTTCATGTTTATAGAAACAGAAATGAGGAAAACCAGAGAGCTCAGGGTGGTTTCCTATCTGAATCACCAACCGCATCCTATAAACTAGCTACGGGGTGTAGACATTCTGCTTTTTTTTTTCCCGAATACGGTTTTGTATTCGTTCACGGCATTCAAGAGAACATAAAGGTCGGGAAGTTGGTGTTGAAGGAATGTGGCGGACGTAGGGAGGTGTAGTGGGAAATGCTACGGAAACCTCAGACAGAGGGCTGAATCTCACAGCCACCGCACTGACTGGTCCACGTACGTGTGAGCGCGTGTGTGGGTGAGATGGTATCTCAGGAAACCCACCCTGAGATCATCTCTAGAGATGGCTTTATAGGTTGAATAAACCATGGGTCGGATTGCAGCGGGAAGAGTTGATCTTTGATAGAGAATTTGACTCATTGAAAACAGCTATGGTAGGGCCGGGGGTGTGACTCAGGGGTACAGTACGTGCCTGCCAAGTGCAAGGGCCTGGCAGGCACGTACTGTACCTCCCCATAAGGCTTTCCTGTTAAACTCAGTCCTTTCTTGGTCCGCTTTTCCTCCTAAACACTGAAGGTGTCCGCGTAGCGGAGATCTCTGCGTGGGCAGGAGTCTTCATGTGAGAAGTTGACTCTAGAATGTGTGAGTCCCAGAACGTTCTGTGCACACGAGTCTCCTGGTTAACTTTAGGACAACAGAGTTAAGAAGGAGAACCTCTGCTCTGCATGCAGAGTCAGGCAGGTGACCTAAACAAGTCGCCTCTCTTTTCAACAAATATCCTACCTATTGGCCCTAAGCACTTTTCTGAGCCTTCTTAACTTCATAACGGCCCACTCAGGGAGAAAGTCCATTTCTAGAATGTAGTGCATGCATCCGCTCTGATTTTATGGATGAAGAAGTATGTCACGCAGCAAAGACGTCAGAGACCTGGGATCAGAACATAGCATCACGAATAACAGGGATGGCAGCCACTCTTCATTTTACATACCAGCAACAAACAAATACAGCAAGTGGTAGTAAAGTTCTGCAAAGAAAAACAAACCAGGGTGCAGCACTGGAGAGAGGCAGGACACAAAAAAAGACAGACTTCACATTTTATATAAAGATCAAGAAAGGCTTCTCTCAAAGTGACATTTCATTTGGGGCCTGGAAAGAAAGGAGGAGTGGACAGACAGCTCTCTGGAAAAGCATTCCGAGTACAACAGACAGGAGGTACAAAGGTCCTGAGGTCACGCATGCCAACATAACAAAGTGAGGAGTTCTGCCATCTCCAACAGCCTGCAGAGTTGGTGATGGTGCAGAGCGGGCAGTGACTTCTCGGCTCCCATGGGTGCCAGACAGGAACGGGGACAAGTGTGTTTGTGCTACTATATAATACAACACCCACAGATAAATTAAGTTATAATAAGCGTCAGTTCGTTTTTCACAGTTCTGGGGGCCAGGACGTCCAAGGTCAAGGTGCCAGCCTATGGCCATGACCTTCTCTTTTGTGTCATCACATGGCAGAAGCAAGAAGGGGATGAGAGAACAGAAGGGGATCCTTCTTCACCAGCACCTGTGCCACCCACAAGGATCACCTATTAAAAATCTCACCCTTTAAGGTCATCGCAGTAGGAAAGGAGTTTCACTGAGTTTCGGAGAGGTTAGACATTCAGGCTATAACCATCAGAGGGGCCGCATCTCCCAGTTCGTCAATAGAACCGAAGGGTTTTTTTCATGCATAATGGTTTAGTTTATAAATCCTGGCGTGGGACTCAGAAAAACAAACTTAATGAGAGATCAACAAACGGTACAGGCAGGCTGGGTGTGGTCCCTGTATCTCCAGGTTTCTACCACCTAGCTGCCTGTAGGAAGGCAGAGACAGCCACCCAGTGGTGGCCAAGCTGGAACCCCGGTCCTCTTTGGACTCAGAGCTACCGTGGTCATCCACCTGAACAGGCAGAACACACGGGACGATCCCTAGTGGAAAGAGTCGTCGGCGGCTCTTATCATCCTCATTCCTGGGAACCCACACCTTCTCCCTGACTTCCGCCCGGGATTCTGTCGAATGCAAGTACAGCCCTCAAAGCCATCCGCCGAACCAAGAGTTTGGTGTCAATAAAGGGTTTTTCGGGTCCTTTTTAAGGTTTTGCCACGGTCCCTAATATTGCAAGACCCGTAAGCCGCGCAGATAAGAAGCCTGGATTTTTTTTTTTTTTTCTCTTTCTGGGTTTATATTTGAAACTCGTGGAATTCTCTGAGCTGCTGCAAGGACCAGAGGTAAATCAAAGAAGCAATTTATTCCTCAAAGCCAGATGTGACCTTGCATGCTCTCCGCAAGCCCGCCGTCCTGAGGGGCTGTGGCGTGAGGCTCCGACACTCCTGAGCGCGGCGGCGGATTTATTGGAGCCTGATCATTAGCAAGGGGACGATCTGGGGGTGCAGGGATGGGGGGGGGTGGCTGATGAATCTTTGCACCTTAAGGAAATTGTGTTTTCCACCTTGTACGAGGGAGACATCCTTTAAGGTAATGAGATGGCCGGGGAAGAAATGGGAACTGAACACTCTTAAGGGAATTCTGATGGATTTCACTGACGTGTGGTTTGGTCCTGGTGATAGAAAAGTGACCTTCTGTCTCCAACCCCCACCAATCAGCATCCGTCCAGGGCCTTGGCGGTGGGGGGGTGGGGAGCCCGTCGGTGGGTCTCAGAGCGGGACCCCGGGCCCAGCAGCGTTGGCATTAGCTGAGGGCTTTGGATCTGCAGTGTTTGGGGGCCCAGCCACGTCTGTGCCGGGGGGAACTCGGGGAAGGGGACCCTGCAGGCTGTGTCTCACTGAATTCCCCAGATAATTCTGATGTGTCTCCAATGTGAGAGCCACCCATGGAGCTCATGGAGCTCTGCCCATATTGATGTCATCTGAGGATGTTTTAAAAAAAAAAAAAAATTCTCAGCAACTCGGGAGGCTGAAGCAGGAGGCATCTCAAGTTCAAGTCCGGCCTCAGCTGCTTAGTGAAACCCTGTCTCAATATCAAAAATTAAAAAAAAAGTTCTGGGGATGAAGTTCAGCAGTAGGAGCATCACTGGATTCAATCCCCACTACCCAAAAATAAAATTTAAAAAATTAAAATATATATATGTATATTTTATTATTATTTTAACTTCCGTGGGGTCTCGCTCAGGCAGCCTGGCATAGACCTGGAGCGGGGTTTCTCACCTTTTTCCTATTCAAACTTTGACCTGGCTCATTCTCTGTTGGGGGGCTCTCTGCTGCACCCCTGGTCCCTACCCACTGCACCCAGAGCACCTGTTGTGACCCCCGGACCTGTCTTCAGGCAGTGCCCAATGCCTCCTGTCAGGTGATCCGTCCCCCCACCTACACACACACACACACACACACACACACACACACACACACACACCCAGGTCTGGAGCATGAGATCTGTGGCCACAGTGGCTCCAACATGCCACTCTAAGAGCACCACCCCTCTGGAGTGGCCCTGTCTTTTTAATGATCACGGGAAACTGCAGAGGGGGGCGATCGCAGCTTAAGAGAGTGGGTTTAGCCAGGTGCACACACCCGTCATCCCAGCAGCTCCGGAGGCTGAGGCAGGAGGATCGTGAGTTCAAAACCATCCTCGGCAACTTATGGAGGCCTTAAACCACTCGGTGAGACCCTGACTCTAAATAAAATACAAAATAGGGCTGGGGATGGGGCTCAGGGGTGGAGTGCCCTTGAGTTCAATCTCAGGTACCAAAAAAAAAAAAAACAAAAAGAGGTGTGTGTTTAGAAGTCCTCATTCTTGCTCCCGGTGGGCTTGCTGCTGGTCAGGGCAGGCGGCCACAGGCAGGTGAAGGAGTGCTAGCTAGCCCCTCATCAAATAGATCAAATCAAGCACCGCCTGTTCTAGGTGGCTTCCTCGTCCCCACGTCCCGATCACTTTGGGGCACCCAGAAAGAAAACAAAGGCACAAGCCGGGAGCTAGCCAGTGTGGGGTCCCAGTTTGGGGGAAGATTATTGCCTTGCCCGTTTCAAAATCTCCCTGGGCTGAGGTGTCCTCTCTTTCTGGGATTCATGGCGACGCTGACGTGCCAGGTGAGTCCTGGCTTGGAGCCTGTGCCACAGACGTCTCTCGTTCCCACGAAGGCTCCCTGGCCAGGCCCTCCCTGTGCACTCTTGGAGACACCCAGAGAGATGGGTGCGATTGTACCCATCTTTTTGTTTGCTTGTTTGGGGTGCCAAGGATTGAACTCAGGGGCACTCCACCACGGAGCCACCTCCCCAGCCCTGTTTTGTATTTTATGTAGAGACAGGGTCTCACTGAGTTGCTTAGGGCCTCCCTTTTGCTGAGGCTGGCTTTGAACTCTCGATCCTCCTGCCCCAGCCTCCTGAGCCACTGGGATGACAGGCGTGTGCCAGTGCACCCGGCTATTGTCGCCATCTGATAAACTAGGAAGTGAGTGAGTCCCAAGAGGTGACAGTGAGGCGCCCAGACACACGGTGGCCGAATCTACTCTGCCCCCACAGCCACTGATGTGCATCTGCCCCTCCATCCCCTGCCAGGTGTGTTAAGGGGCCCCCTCCGAGAGGCCAGCCACACGGCATCTTGGTGCCATGCAGCTGCCCCAGCCCCTCGACCTATGCTCTTCCCTCATCATGAAGTGGGAGCTGCAGGCCCAGCCCTCTCCACGCACAGGCTTTCCAAATCCACGGGCAGCCAGAGAACCTCAGCATCTCTGTGTGCCACGGGCGTCACAGGCGAAAAACAAAGGAAGACCCCCGTCTCCGGGGTCTTCGCGGGGACAGCAGGTGACCCCTCCCTGTCCCCGCAGGTCTTGTACAGATGGAACCGACAGAGCAGCACATCTGTCATCGAGACCAATACGACCTCGGTGGAGCTCTCGCTACCTTTGGATGAGGATTACATCATCGAGATCAAGCCCTTCAGCGACGGAGGGGACGGCAGCAGCAGTGAGCAGATTCGAATCCCAAAGATATCAAGTAAGAACCCTCTCTCTCCCAGAGACCGGGCCCTTCAGTGTCTTCCTCCGGAATTGTGTTCACACTGCTGGTTTTGAATGGGTGCGTGTGCGACAGGTGCATAAGTCCACACGCAGGATTCTCCTCCTTTTCCAACATGTGGAGCAACGTGCGGGACTTGATGATTGTAGGCGTTTCTGTTTGTTGGTGTTTTTATACATTTTTAAAAAATTTTTTATGGGTTTCTGTTTTTATGTGTTTTGAGCAAATCCATTCAATTCTATAGAATCGTAGAGACAGAAAGCAGGTTCGCAGTTGGCCGCGGCTGGCCAGGTAGGGGTGGAACTTGAGTGAATATTGGGTTTTCATTTGGGGAATGATGAAAAAATTTCTAGAAATAGATAGCAATGCTGGCTGAAGAGTGTTTAAGTGGATGACAAGGCTCCGTACCCTTTAAAATTAGTTTAAAATGGTCACTTTTCTGCCTTGTGTGTTTTGCCACAATACGAAAGAAAGATTGCTGTTAGACATCTGAGGGGAGATGGGCACTAGCCTTTGGATTTAGCAGTCTGGAGATTAGGGGATCAGCACAGGCTGTAAAATTTTAAGCCGTCGGTGGAGAGGTGATATTTTAAATCGTAACGAAAATCCTCACCACGGAGTCCTGAATTTTAGCCCTGAGTATCCTTCTGCTAAGTGCCCATAGGTTTCTCAGATGAACAAAGGACCTGTTATGTTTTACGGGTACCAAATAGCGGTCATGAATCCATGAAGCCATTTTATTGCACTTACAAAATCTGGGTACCTGAAACGCTCTCGGGCCGTTTTGCTCTCCCTCTGGGTTGAGTGTCGTTCGGGTTGGATTTCGTATTTAGTATTAGTTTGTTAATATTAAAGTACTTTGATGTCAAGTGGAGGCTCCCCAAGAGCCACGCTCCAGGACATAGGTGTGGTTCCTAATGGAGTTTATTGACAGCATTATTTTTCAGGGGTATGGTCTGTGGGTGTAGATTAATGGTAGAGCATGCCGGAGGCCGGGGCTTCAATCCCTAGTACTGCAAAAATTAAAAAAAATAAATAAAATAAAATAGAAAATAGATAAACCTAGGGGGATTGTATTGGAGACCTCACCAAAGAAGATCCCTAACTTTTGGTTGAAAGGTAGCTAGATTTATGGTGAGAAGTGGGCGAAACCTCCAGACCATGAGAACACAGGATCCGGGTTTGGCTTCTCTCTCTTTATTAAAATCTGACCACATGCTTTTCTTAGCATTGCAAAATTTTTTTTTTCAATTTGAGGCTGCCTGATGATTCCTGTTTTGTTTTGTTTTTTTCATTCTTTACAAAAACGTGTGTTAGTTGATGACATGGGTGTGGTTAGATGACACGGTAAGGATGTGACCAAGCAGAGGATCCCTTTTCCTCCAGGAATTTTTTTTTCTTATTATGTAGGTCAAAAAAGATTGGCCACTTTGAAAAAAACTTTCAATAAGTCTTAGTAGATTCTTACAAAAAAAAACGCAAGACCCCCTCAGAAAAGTTTTTAAAAGATTGAGATTGTTTTGTTTGGAGAAAAGGGGGGGGGTGCATAGTTAGACTGACGTGGCTTTGATGGCCAATTCAGCTATCCCCTAACGAGGCAATCTTGGACGTGGTGGTATCTTACCTCTGTGGACCCCCGGGGCTCCTCATCCATCCAATGGAGTCACAAAAATACCTGGTCCCCCCAGAGAAGCTATTATAAGATGTAAATGTCATGTTGGTCAAGGGAAAGATCAAAGTCGCAAGTTCAAAGCCAGCCTTAGCAACTTAGCAAGACCTTGTCTCTAAATAAAAAAAAATAAAAAGGCGCTGGCTGGGGATGTGGCTCAGTGGTGAAGGGCCCCTGGGTTCCACCCC